AGTCAGGAGGGGGCCGGGCTACCAGGGGAGACCCAGGCTCCTGAGCAGGTGTGGAGCGAGCCCAGGACACACCTCACCAAACAGCCTGTCCCCGGGGGCCACCTCCTCAGTGGTACAGGCCTGGATCCTGCAAGGGCATCTGGAGCACAGGGCCAGGAATTCTGGGGAGGTGGGCTCCCCTCTCTCCCTTGGACAAGCATCTCATTACAGCGTGGAACCCACGCTGGTCAGAACACAGGCTGCCTGAGGTGGACATGGTCAAGGTGGAGCCCGTGACCAAGTCTAAGGCTTAGCTTCTCAGTGCCCCCCCCCGGGGGCCCAACAGCAGAGCCCCACCCTCCTTCCCATCCTTCCCCTCCCCCTCCCCAATTCCCCTTCCCCACTGACAGCAGTGCAGTGAAGCCCTCTCGTCTCCCTGAGGCAACGTTAAACCCCACTCAGAGGGCTGGTTTTAATTGGCTTAATATACTCGTTAATAACCGCGTCTATTTAACGCACCTGTAAAAAGGTCCATAACATTAACTTAATGGCAGTGACAGTCCGCCCGGCACTTCCTGCCAGCCTTTTAAATCTCCAGACAAGCCGTTAATGGGGGCTCCCTGGATGGAGATGGATTAGGGAGCTGAGCGGGGAGAGGCAGCCCAGGTCACCCTTACTCTGCGCCAACCCTGCACATCTAACCTCTTTTGCAGCAACGGGCCCTCCAAAGCCGACCCAAGAGGGCACAGTGCCTGACCCAGGGGGAACTGACAGGAACGAGGGCTGGGTCAGGTGGCCGGTCCCTCCAGTGTCGCCTTAAAGGCGAATCTTCCGGGAGGAGCTGAGCTCTCTGCCACACCAGAGCTAAAGAGATGACTGTCGCACTGGCCCAGGCCGAGGACAGCAAGGAGAGCCAGTCCTTAGCACCCGCCTGCTCCCGGCATCCTCCAGAGCTCTGGGAGGGGGCGGCGGCACCCTGAGGGCACTCATGACAGACCTGGAATCTAAAAGCCCATTCCTACTCAGTTGGGCCGTCACCTTCCTGCCTGCTACCCATACTCAAAGGCGTCCCCCACCCCCGTCACCCACTTTGTCCAGCCAGGCCCACCTCATGGTCAGCTCAAGATGAACACACCAACGCATTAATCCGTCAGTGCCCTCAAGACCCCAGCAAGGGGCCCTCCAGGGAATTATACCCCAGTCCGTCCTGTCACACACCACCCCCCAACCTACCACATGGCACGTACAGCAGATGACCACGGTGGCCTGAGGCCTGGACCTTGTATGGCTCCTCTCTTCCCTCTTCCCCAGAAGTTGATTCCTCACTGGCCACGAGCCCTTCCAGGCCACCGTTCAGTCCTCGGGACCTCACTGTGGATGCCCAGGGCAGCGTGCCAAACTGTCCCAGGAGTCGGTGCCAGGCAACCACTATGCCCTGGACACGAGTGACAGGCTGCCCTGTGGCGTCCCTGGGGTGGAGGACGGGGAAGCATTTAGGGTCTTCGGCCTTTCACCAAGTCACCATGAGTGGTGGCGCACGCCTTTAATCTCAGCGCTCGGGAGGCAGAGGCAGGTGGATCTTTGTGAGTTCGAGTCCAGCCTGGTCTACAGAGTGAGTTCCAGGGCAGGCTCCAAAGCAATACAGAGAAACCCTGACTCGAAAACACCAAAATAAATAAATAAATGAAGACATCACCGTATGAAAAGTCACTTAGCAGCCCCCCCACCCACCCACTACAATCCTTCCCAGTATAATGGACCCACTAATCCCGTTCAGTCAATCGAGGGGGAACCAGACACCACTATTTACGGGAGCCGCGCCCAAGAATGCGGATGTGTCCGCCACACCTGTCAACCTGCCATCATCCTGTTTCTGGGGCTCGTTGCTGCCTGCCATCCCCATCCAGAGTGCTGGCTCCCTCGCTGCCTGCATAGTAGGACCAGGACAGGGAGGGTATGCGGCAGACAGAGACGGTGGCGGGCCCAGAAAAGACAGGCTTACGCGTTCCCTGTGTCCCATGGGTAGTGGAGCTCCAGCCGGGCACAAGCCAGGACAGGGAGCCCTGAGTGTGAGGTCCGCTGTGGTCCCTTCAGGGATGGCGACGCCACTGTGACTCCCCAAACCCAGTGGGACACGGGAGGGGGGGACTGGGCTTCCCCACTGGGGCCATTCAGCCTCCCCTTACCCTCAGCGGAGGAGCCCGCCGCCAGAGCCCCTCCTGACCCGCGTTTACTAAACAGACCATGTGATGGCATGGGCATTGAGACTGGCTTTTCTCCACCGCAAAGTCTGGGACTTTGCCAACCCGGGTCCATGAGCCAAGAAGCCTGGGGTCCCAAGCCAGGCTCACGGCAGAACAGGCTGTATTTAAAGAAAGCACTGTGGGGGTAGCTAGAAAAGTCTTTCAGGGATCAAGACTTAAGGCGGAGATGCCGTCTCCAAGGTGTACATGGGGCCCACGATTAAACCAGGCCTGTGGCGGGATAAATACCATTGCCATGCCCTGAAACAGACTCGCCAAACCAACCAACCAGTCCCTGAGCGGCTGCACTGTGGCTCCTGAGGGTGGCCCTCGGCCAGGGTGGAGTGACGGTGATGCATTAGACAGACTTAGCTCTGCCCCTGCTGGCTGTAACCTCTGACCTCTCCAACTACAAAACGGAGACCCGTGTGGCTGAGTGTCTGCTCGGGGTCCCTGAGGAGACGCAGCTGGGATTGAGCATAGCTGTCATGGCCTCTCAAGGTCCCCATGTGACTGGGTGTTGTAGGAGAGCCAAACTGCAGAAAACCGTGTTTCCTTCCAAAGGCCCTGGCTGGCTATACAGTCCAACCCTGCCCGGTGGGTGTGGGTCCTGGGAAGTGCAGGGGCCGGAGTGCCAGGTGGTCAGAGCCACCAGGGAAGCAGAACTCCAGGCCGGCTGCCACGTCACAGCGTCTCTTCCCACCCTCACAGTTGTCTGGGCCTCCACACACAAGCCACTCAGGAAAGGACGGATGCAGAGCCCACACCCAGCCGGGGAGGTTCTGCATGCGAGACACGCTCTCCCTCGAGAGCCACCACCTGCAGGATGGCCCACTGGCCAGACGGGGGCGAGGTGGGTCCCCGTTTGGTGAGGAGACCCTGGAAGCAGGCATTTCCTCCCCTTTCTTAAGGTTCTGAACACCTAATTTATTCCATCCATTAGATAGATTTTGTAGATTTAATCATTTTCACAGTTGGTGGCTCATTGGATACTCAAGATAAACTCCGAATGAAAGCATAATGCAGGGGACAAATGAGTTTTTCACACCACAATGGCAGAGCCTTGCTTGGAAAGAGAGTTTAAGGAGGACAGAAATACACATGGCTATCATTTCTTCCTCCTCCCGGCAGCCGCTTTTGCTGAGTCTGGTAGGTTTCCACAGTTAATTTCACCAGTTTTGTTCATCTGTAAAATTGCATAAAAGTGACATTTTTGTGCTCATTATAGCAACTGCTGATTTATGGCTGGCAACCGAAGAGCTGGCCCCTTCTTCGCGGGACTCTCAGAGCGGTGCTAAGCGCCCATGAAATTGCTTGTATAATGTAGTTTAAATCCAATCGCAGAGAAAGATTCCCCCGTTGGCCAAAGTGACATTTCCATTCTCCACACCAAGTTTATTTTAGGCCACTTAACAGCTGGGGACGCCCAGAGCAGGGTCCAGGGTGGGCTCCCCTTCGGGGCCCAGGGAGGCTCAAAGGATGGAGAGATGGAGAAAAGCTACCCTGTGCCACGATGTCACAGCCTCCTGCTACCCTGCTGCGCCTGAGCCTTGCTGGACAACAGGGCTGGGCGGATCACGCCTGTGCTGTCTGTCCTGCGTGCTGTGGGATGTGAGGCAGCTGCCAGGTCGAACTGGAAGCCACCAGTATGCACAGCCCTAGTCACAACAAGCAGGAGTACCCAGTGTGGTAAGAAGCCGCCCCGATGTGCACAGGCCCTGCCTCGGCGGGCCTGACCTCTCCCAGCTGCCTCTGCCGCCCTGTCTAACACAAAGAACCACTGTCCATCCAGGCTAGGGTTGGACCAAGGCGGTGCAGGTCAGGGCTCTGGGAGGAAGCCTCCAACTGCAAGGCCATCATGGGTGTGGCCTTCCTTGGCGAGGCCCCGCCCTGGGCCAGACTTGCACATTGCTCTCCTCCAACACCGGCTGCTACACATGGACCCTGCTAACCCCTCACAGCCACCCTCAGGGGAAACAGAGGCCCAGCATGGTGAAGCCCCTTACCTAAGTCCCCCAGGGGTTACGATAGCCCATCACCCACTGTACCCTCACACAGCCAGGCCCCTCAGCACTGCCGAAGCCCACGTAACCAGAGTTCCGCCCAAACCCTGCCAGCACCAGTACCGGTCTTCCTGTGTGCCGCCATGACACCCCCCCCCCCCCCGTCACCCTGCCTCAGAGGACACGCTGGGTTGTGCTCGGTCTAGAATAGCTCAGGATGCTGTTGTCAGCAACTCACCTCCCCCATGGCAGAGCCAGTAGGGACCACCTATAGCGGGTTAAGTCCCATGATCTAGAATGTCGCACTCAGCATTAACAGGCCAGCCGCCAAGAGCACCCGGCGTCCGGTTCATCTCACCCAGCCCGGAACGCCAGCACAGCTACTCCATGTTGCTGGATGTGGGGGTAGAGCTGAGGATGCCTGGTTAGTAGGGCACTTTGCCTGGCGCTGTGAGGTTCTGGGTTCGATTCCAGGCAGGCAGAAACAGGACGTGACGGCTCACAGCTGTGATCCCAGCTCCCGGGAAGGAGAGGCAGGAGGACCAGAAGCTCAGGGTCATTCTTGTGTACACATTAAGTTTGCAGCCAGCCTGGAACACATGCAGACCCTGTCTCAGAGAGGGAGAGGACAGGCAGCTTGGCTGTGGCGGGGGGGGGGGGGGGCGCCTGTATTTCAACCTCGTACACGTGTGCTGGCTCCTCCATGAACCTTATGCTTTGGTTCAAAAGTCGGAAGCGGGCCTGACCTCACGTGTGCGCCTCTGTCTCCCTGCAGGCGAGTCGGTGGCCAGCTCTATGCATTCCTCCCGCTACCCGAGCCCAGCCGAGCTGGATGCCTACGCCGAGAAGGTGGCCAACAGCCCGCTGTCCATCAAGATCTTCCCCACCAACATCCGAGTGCCGCAGCACAAGCACCTTAGCCGCACGGTCAACGGCTATGACACCAGTGGCCAGCGCTACAGCCCATACCCTCAGCACTCCACCGGCTACCAGGGCCTGCTGGCCATCGTCAAGGCTGCGGTCGTCTCCTCTAGTTCGGCAGTGCCCGCTGGGCACGCCAAAAGTGTGCTCAAGAGTGTGGAGGGCAAGCGGACTAAACTGTCGCCGGCCGCGGTGCAGGTGGGCATCGCACCCTACCCGGTGCCCAGCACCCTGGGGCCTTTGGCTTACCCGAAGCCACCCGAGGCCCCTGTCCCACCGCCCAGCCTGCCTGCAGCCGCCGCTGCCACGTCTGTGATCCCTCTGCCGGGCCGGGGCCTTCCCCTGCCACCCTCCAACCTGCCCTCCATCCATAGCATCCTCTACCAGCTCAACCAGCAGTGCCAGGCCCCCGGTGCTGCACCAAGCGCCTGCCAGGGCGTGGCTGTGCCCCACCCTAGTCCAGCCAAGCACGGCCCGGTGCCCAACTTTCCTAGCATGGCTTACTCAGCCACGGCCGGTCTGCCAGACTGCCGGAAAGGCACAGAGCTGAGCCAGGGAGCCACACCAGCACTGACAGTGCCCGGGGCCATCAAAGCTGCAGGGTTTGCAGACGGTGGCGGTGGCGGCCTGGATTACCTGCTGTGGCCACAGAAGCCACCTCCACCCCCACCCCAGCCACTTCGGGCCTACAGCAGCAGCAGCACCACCACCACTGTAGCCAACAAGTCCCCTGAGACGTGTGGCGGCCGGGCATTTGAGAGGGCCAACGCGTCGCCCCACAATTGTGGCATGGGGCTGCCCACCAGCTTCACCGTGGGCCAGTACTTCACTGCCCCTTGGAACAGTGTTCTGGTGACACCTACCAGCGACTGCTACAATCCAGCAGCAGCTGCCATAGTGACAGAGCTGGGACCAGGAGCTGGCAGGGAGCTAACGGGACCTCCTGCGGACACACTCTCTGGCCTGGCCAGCAAGAGTGTGTGCAACACAGCCATGCTGAGCAGTAGCCTACAGTCGCTGGAATATCTTATCAACGACATCCGGCCGCCCTGTATCAAGGAGCAGATGCTGGGCAAGGGCTACGAGACGGTGGCTGTACCCCGGCTGCTGGACCACCAGCACGCCCACATCCGGCTACCTGTCTACAGATAAGGCCCGCCCTGCGGCACAGGAACTGATGGGCGGATGGACAAGGTGCCGGGGGCTGGCAGGCTAGGGCACAGGGTGCTACAGGGCTTCCCACCTGCCCTAGGGCCATGTGTCCACAGGGAAGCCAGGCTGGTTACCCTGCACTTCGGTGGGCAGGCAGATTGACCTCACGCAACAGGGCTCCCCCCTCACCCCCCAATTTGCTGCCCCAGGAAGCAGGGAGGGTCTAGGGGCGGCCTGTAAGGCCCATCCTCCCTCCACCGAGGCAGGAAAGAGGATCTTCCGCAGACAGGAAGTTCCTTCTGGGGCTTCAGCAGAGGTACTCAGACCAGGGGTGCTCCAGACAGCCTGAGTCGCAGGCTGGGTCTCTACCCCCAATCCCCTAGTCTCTCAGAAAAGGAGCAGAAGGGAGCTTAGGAAGTCCCTGGGTCCAGAGTGCCCCCGCCCTCCCAGCTAATCCAGGTAAAGACCGTTCCCACTCCAGACTCCTACAGGCCTCAGGGCAACTACCAGCCCCCCCCCCCCCCCCCGTCCCCTCTCAGCACCCTTCCTGAGAAGTCACATCCCACCCCACTGTTTCCGCTCTGGCTGGACCGACCTCTTCTCTCCCTCGGTCACACCCTATATGGCTGTTGGGGACAGCGGGTGCATTGCACAAGGGCACCCTGCCCATGGAGATGCCATTTGCACCCTAGACTTGTATGTTTATTACAGTTGTCTGCATTTCGAGGAAGGGGCACCATTTTCCTATTCGCACAAAGCCGTCACAGGGGCTGGCAAGGGGCCTGTAAATTCAGACTCCGTTCACAAGGATGACCTTGGCTTCTTCCAGTGTGGGGTCTCCTGGGAGGAACCAGGGAGAGGGTGAGCAACTGGCTATAATTGGAATACCGCACCCAGCTCCTTTTCTGCACCCTCCCCCCCCCCCCGGCCTGCACTGTTGGGGGGTGGGGTGGGGGAGGACGTAGATAAGCCCCAGAAGTGGTCAAGCCCCAGCCTGTCCCCAGGCGCTTGCTCCAGAAGCGGTACCGTATCTCTCCAAGGCCTGTCCAAGCACTAAGTGCATTTACAAATCTCCGAGAATGTTTTTTTTATATACTAAAATTGACCATTATATTCTACTGTGAGAAGTACAGTCTGCACTATATTGTTTTAAAAACGAACAGAAAGAGAAAAGAAAAAAAAAACAGAAAACAGATGGTGTCTCAGCTGTATGCTTGCGGTGAAGCTGTCTCCTCTCTCCCTGGCTCCCTCCCTCTGGGATCCACGGGAGGGCACCCCAGGGAGCCTGGCGGGCATGGGGGGATAGCATAGCCATGTTCCATGCCCAAGCTATTACCAAGCTCTCCAAGCCTGGTGCTACCCCATGCGTTATATATGGCCAACGGGCCATCCACAGGAGCAGAATCAGAATCAAACCCCAGCTCCCACAGCTCTTCCCAGCGCTGAGTGGGTTCCAACCCCTCCCCCGTCTAAGTCCCTCCCAGCCCGTTGGTCACCCTCCCAGCTTAAATGGCTGAGTAGCTGGGGACAGGCTTGCCATCATCCTGGCCAGCACAGATGGCTGGACCAGACACTTGTTAGTCCTGTCACAGGGCGCTCACTGTTCACCAGGGACCAGCAGACCTTGCCCGACACTGGAAACATCCTTGGGAGGTGGGAAGTCTCCTGCCTGAGGCTACAGTGCCGTGGGCCAACATGGAGAAACGCTAGAGACCTGCCCTCGGGTCTGCAGGGGTGTGGGGGGTCTGCAGGGGTGTGGGGGGTCTGCAGGGGTGTGGGGGGGTCTGCAGGGGTGGGGGGGGTCTGCAGGGGTGGGGGGTCTGCAGGGGTGTGTGGGGGGGTCTGCAGGGGGTGTGGGGGGGGGGTCTGCAGGGGGTGGGGGGGTCTGCAGGGGTATGGGGGGGTCTGCAGGGGTGTGTGTGGGGGTCTGCAGGGGGTGTGTGAGGGGGGTCTGCAGGGGTGTGGGGGTCTGCAGGGGTGTGGGGGGTCTGCAGGGGTGTGTGAGGGGGTCTGCAGGGGTGTGGGGGTCTGCAGGGGTGTGGGGGGTCTGCAGGGGTGTGTGAGGGGGGTCTGCAGGGGGGTGTGAGGGGGTCTGCAGGGGTGTGGGGGTCTGCAGGGGTGTGGGGGGGGGTCCGCAGGGGGTGTGGGGGGGTCCGCAGGGGTGTGGGGGTCCGCAGGGGGTGTGGGGGGGTCTGCAGGGGGTGTGTGAGGGGGTCTGCAGGGGTGTGTGAGGGGGTCTGCAGGGGTTGTGAGGGGGTCTGCAGGGGTGTGTGGGAGTCTGCAGGGGTGTGTGGGGGTCTGCAGGGGTGTGTGTGGGGGTCTGCAGGGGTGTGGGGGGTCTGCAGGGGTGTGGGGGGGTCTGCAGGGGTGTGTGAGGGGGTCTGCAGGGGTGTGTGGGAGTCTGCAGGGGTGTGTGGGGGTCTGCAGGGGTGTGGGGGGTCTGCAGGGGTGTGGGGGGTCTGCAGGGGTGTGGGAGTCTGCAGGGGTGTGGGGGGTCTGCAGGGGTGGGGGGGGTCTGCAGGGGTGTTGTGAGGGTCTGGGTTCAGAACACTCAGCAGGAAGGGAGCCAGGAGGAGGGGTCCAACCCCACAGGATGAGGGCTCCGTCATGCCCACCCATGCCTGCCCCCAGCTCCTCTCCTGTCCAAGAGCCAGATATCTGTGCCAGGAAAAACTGGGACCCCCAGTCTGAGGCAGCCCTCCGCCCACACAGAGCCCTGGCCAGTGTAGTGGGGCTTAGGGCAGAGTCCTGAAACCTTCCGGAAACCCAGAGTCCACCCCAAGGGAACAGTCTCAATGTCTCAATGCCAGGCACACCTGATAGCCCAGGGGATACATGGGTAAGCGCTCAAAAGACAGGCGGGGTGGAACCCTGAAGAAAATTAACAGGTGACAGACATGATGACCTCGGTGGCCCAACCAAGTGAGGAATAAGATCACCCCTGTTTCCCAGACACAGGACCCAAGGGACACCTGCAAAATAATGGCAGCCCCACACAGCCTCAACCCATAGCCAGTGGGTCACCCAGAGCCAGGCAGGCATGGCAGGCAGCTGGCCAGGGTCTGAGCCCCAACTGCTATACTGAGCTGCTCCTAACCAAGCTCTCCCCGGTGACGGGAGGGTAGACCAGTCTGCCCTGTGGCTGGGCTCCTCCTCCCTGGGCCTGTTTCCCTTTCTGGCTGACCTGAAGAGCATTCTAGATATCACGGCAATGACCCTGGACGCTTTCACAGTGACCCTGGGTGCACAGGACAACCTTAGGACAGGTCAGGCCACCAGAGCGATAGAAGGTGACAGTCAAAGCAGCCTCAGGACCAAGCAGCTCCTGCCGGCACAGAGGGCCGCGCAGGTGAGTCTGGTGAGGCGCCAGGAGCCCACAGCCTCCTAATCAGGGCCTCGCAGGCCATCTGCACTCCTAACGGCTCTATGCATGGCTGGGGCAACCGGCAACATACATGCTCCAGGTTTTGTTTGCCTTCAAGAACCAGGGGCTGGCTGGCACCGCTGGGCCGCAGGCCTGCATGCTGGACAACCAAGCCCATAGAAGTGGCCTCCTCCACCTTACCCCACCCCAGCTTCGGTTCTGGGTCTCCAGTCCTGCATGCCGGGCTCCCTTCCCCGGAACTATCTTGGGCTCCAGGCTGATCAAGTGGCCAGGCATGCTCCACCACATTCACGGCCGACAAGGGACAATTTCTGCATCTTACCAGATCAGTACAGCCAGGGACTGAGAGCAGCTGGGACACACACCAGGTCTAATGGCTTAGGTCCCAGCCCCCAGCACTGTCCCGCACAAGAAATAACGCAGAAACACATCACACCGGCATATAAAAGGCTCTGAAAAGGTCTGCAGGCTGATTAATGCCCTTTAGATTCAGCCCCACATTCTGCCAACATTTGAACTTAAGTTTGTGTTTGTATTAATGTCCCAGAGAACAAATCTTCGTGGGGGAAAAGACGGAGGAAAAGGAATGAGTGCCCCTCCCCCCTCCCCCTGGACTCCGTTTCCCCAGCCGCACAAGGGGGAGCAAGGAATTGACTCCAACCACAACCCAGCCTCACACCTAGGTTCATAGCGTCCTAATATGGGAGGGCAGTGGGCAGGACAGCCACAAACACACGTTTGTTTGTTTGTTTGTTTGTTTGTTTGTTTGGGGCAGGGACCCTTGGATACAACCCCCTGCCTCCGCCTCCCACAAGCGAGGTTACAGGCTGGAGCCAATGCAGCTAAATTCCCGGCACCCACCAGAACAATAATTACCAGCCATGAGAATTGTTCAGTTAAGACCAGAGTTCCTGTGCAGCCTCATCGGACCTCTGACCCCCTTTGCTGAGCTCGACAATGTATCAATTCCCAGAGAGCTTTAAACTTGGGGGACAGTGGCAGTCACACGTGTCATGCTCACCCCTAATGACCCCTCCAGGAGGGAAAGGCAGAGGTCCCTGAAGGGACAGGGTGCCAAGAGAGCTGGCGGTGAAGGGGGTTCAGCTGACCGTGTCAGGGTCCCCACCCAACAGAAGGGAGGCAGAGGCCATGAGGGCACAGTGCTGGGTTCAAATCTTACCTTCACGGTTGGCGGCCCTGGCAACCGTCCTGGCTTCTGTAATGCTGTGGAGTCCTGGCTTGGGGTTTGGCTGGCTTCTGAATCCATTAACTATGGCTGACTGCACTATCAGGAAAACAAACCTAAGTGCTGGAGAGATGGCTCGGCGGTTAAGAGCACCGGCTGCTCTCACAGAGGACCTGGGTTTGATTCCCAGCGTCCACAATCGTCCATAACTCGAGTTCCGCACCCTCTTCTGGCCTCCGTGGGCATTTACACGGTGCACGAGACACGCAGGCAAAACAATAATGAAAATAAATCTTTAAAAAAAAAATCAAGAAAACTCGGCAACATCCGAACGCGTTCACTTCTCAGGCGTCTGGTTTTTGTGAGCTGCGCAAAGCCACCTGGGGCACGCGGCTCCGCACCTGCCGCCCCTCATACCCCGCCTTAAGGCGGGCCATGAAGGTCTGCTCACATGCCATTGGTTCACACGCATCA